TAGCTCACTTGTACGCAGATCCATCCGTTCAGCAACACACATTGATTTCCTTGCAATTGCCTGCCACTTTCGAAAAACTTGGGTGTCTTTTACTGATGGTAGAAGGGATAACCTCAGTTCTTTCAAAAGACCATAGCTTGCACTCGACACGAATCGATTTCCAGAAAAACAGTAACTAGCATATTCTTAATGACAGCTCTCCTTCACTTTTTCGACCGAAACTGTGCAGTGTTTCGTTTTGAGTTTTTTCGGATTATTATGTAGCCTGTATAGCCCTCAATCTACTCAGCATATTTTGAGAATTAAAAATCTAATTTTTCATGCAAAAGTTAATCACAAAAATAAATTTTGCGTTTTCTCGAAACGATTCTTTTCGCACAAAAGTACTGATATGTCTACATTGCACTGATGTACGAGGTTTGATCGAGCTTAAATTTTTCACAAGTGCTAGGCAATTTTTGGAGTGTCTACATTTTTTCGTTTTGTATAATAATGCAGCGCTGATTGTTGGCAAATTTCACAAAACATTGTTCCAGAAAAAAAAACGAGCGTTTTAACGACAGTACCCGTACTCTTGCTCTTTTTTTCACAATACGATTGGAAATGAGTGGTTAAGTATATAACAAGAGAAGTGAACCACCAACCCGCCGCTCTATCTAGACATTATTGATAGATAGACATCTGTCACAGGCATCACAAACGTGACGGACGGGCAGAAAACAGTTCTATTCAGTAGCACAGATGTCACAGGCAGACAGAAAACAAGTTTTCGGCGCCCGTTCGTACTGCACAATAAGGACAGAATACGAATATGAAGCCAAAGTCAAATAGAACATAACTAACAAATATGAAATGACTATTGATATGGCCGACTTCAGCATAGTAAAAGTAGGAGTAAAACGACAGGTGCATAGCAACTGCATAGTTCATCAAGAGTTTCATATGAGCAGACAGAGTGAAACGTGCTTGATTCAATGTGTATTGTTTTCGGAAGAGTTCAATTCATTAAGATTCTTCTCCTTGGCCCTGAGAATGGTGAAATACTATTGGGCCTCCCTGACAAGCTTTCATTTCAATATTTATCAGGCAATTTAGTATTTAAACTGTCAAGTATTTGGAAACATATTTATTTCTGCGTATATTAAAAATAAATGATTGAGATGAAACACAGAAGTATGTAAGAAGCAACTGGATACTCAGACTCTGCCTCAGAGAATGAAATAGGCAGCCATCGTTGCTTAAAAGAATGACAGATGTTTTACCATGGCTGTCAATGGAGTTCCCATCGTCAAAAATACCTCATCTCACAACAATTTGACCAGACGGTAGAATCACTTTCTCTTGTTTCACATTTTAGTCCCGGAGAGTTTGTGCTGAAAGCTCTTTTAAAGGAGGAAATTTTCGAAATAAACAATTACACATCCCCAATAGTGGTTAACACCTCTAAAAAGAATTTCAGCCAGATCGGGCGTAGCGCCTTAGAGAAAAGACGAAAAAAGTGAGGTCATTTTTGGCTCTTATGTCCCATATATCTCCTGGAAGAAACCACTGTGCGCAGGTGGGTTCAGCATACATTGTGATCTACTACTTGAGATATAGCTGCCCCCACAGTTTCAAATATTTCAAGTGAGTAGCTCTACAAAAGTGCCGAAAACAGAGGAGTCCTAAGGAAGAGCTTAAAGCCAGTTGTCGTAGTTCAGGACTTACCTTTGAGTTGCCTCATCGAAGTAGAATCGTAAAACCATCTGAGGGCACCCGTATGACCGCTTTTGTTCGCCGGCAACACACGCGTGAAAAACATCGCAGTATTTCAAATCACGCCAAAAACCATCCGTACGGCCTTTACATTCGAATGGAATATCCTTTAGAACATGTTGATTGAGAGTCGGAGACATTAAAATGAACGATAGGGCTAGTGAGAAATTAAAGGAAAAAGAAAGATAGCTCTCTAGCAACAGACAGAGAAAGAAAATACTTACCGATGAAGAAACTTTGTCCCATAGCAGTAATCATCTTTTGTTTGTAAGAAGTGTAAAGTGACAAAACAGAGATGAGATTTGAGATGATTGCTTTTAACTTCAATGTTATCTAATTGCTGGATTCTTTTTTTTTAATATTAAAAACTTGGTATCACATTCGAAACATTTATATCTCTTCCCTCCGACATTTTCACTTCTTTTCTCTTGTCTCTCTGTAGTTTGGCGTAGAATCAACTGATTTTTTCTCGCTCGTCCTTTTCGAGCATCTCGACAATCGCCTGCCATCAACTTTATTGAAGACTATTGCTCAATGTTAGAAACGATTAAAAAAGACACAGAATAAGACAAAAGAGAAGGATTATTGTATTGTCACACACAAAGAAAAAAGGATTATGGTAAAGGCTAAGGACTTCAGTTTTTGTTTGTCAAGAAAGCAAAAAAAGTAATCGGTTTCTCTTTCATGCTCCTTTGAAGGTTAATCAGAAAAATAATACGATTAAAAAGAAAACTGTAGTTGTGCTGTAATTGTTTTTAGCTTTAAATATTTTAGATTGAAAAACGAATGCCTCATTCTCTCTGTCTAGAGCTAATGTATTGAGATGATCAAGAAAACATTGTACAGTGAGAAAGACAGAGAAGGTGCAACAGAGCCAAGAAAAAAAATATACAGTTAATTAAATTCTTGTAGCTTTATTTTGAACAGTATACTATGACAACTAGCAGTTATATGATTGCAGTTATTGACAGTTAATTATACATTTCCTGTTTCGTGAAACACGAAAAGTAATGAACCTGCCGCATAGACATGGCAGACAGATGAAAAAGGATTCTGTTCAGTATCACAGACGCAACTTATTGGCGTACCTAGTGCAAGAAAAACCGGAAAAAAAAACTTTTTCTAACAAGTGGTATCTTTTCCATGGATTTACACGTGATACTAGATGATTGAGCACTTTCGATACATATATTAGTTTAGTTGATTTGAAGCAAAGAGCGGGGAATGGATGACTCTGAGGTCGTATACGACTGTGTTCTTACTCGATCGTTCTTGCAACGTTAGGAATAGAATTACACACTCTAAAAGAAAATTCGTTTTCTAGAGAACCCAAACGACCTCGGATACCCTTCCGGAAACTCTAAATGATTTCCGGAGGTATTTCTAGTCTCAGCGCTGAGTTTCAGGGATATCCTCTTGGTATCCGGATGCTCGAAAACCCTTTGGTTTTCGAGAATGCCGATTCAGATACCCTAAAAGTATCCTCGGATACTTTGATGGTATTGAGGAAAACCGTAAAGGTATATTAGAAAACCCATATTACTAGCAAAATTGATTTTCTATTCCAAGAGGTATTCGACATTACCCTTTCGGTTTTCGAAGTACTTCATCGGATACCGAAAGGGTTTTCGAATCTTCCAAATCTCAAAAAAGTCTAATGGAAAACCGAAATAGAATTCCGAATGTTTTTGAGACCTTCAAAAATAACGACCAACGCCAAAACGTAAATCAGATGAAAAACTTAGTTCTGAGCTTTTCTCTCAGGAGATTGATTCATCAAAACAAAAAGCAACCCGAAATCTCCGCCCAAAACGGCGTTGACAATAAATATACATTCACAACGACAACAAAAACTGTTTTACCAACGCTTTCTTTCTCTTTTATTGGGAACGATTGATGTTTTTTCATTGTTTTTCTTCTACAAACAGGCCCTCATTCGTTGACCTTTTACGCCTTTATAAACTATTCATTTACCCAGAGAGCTTCTTTCATAAACATCTGGGAGATATTTCATTCATGAAATTTCATTCGTTTCGTATTCCTCCCCATTCAATTATAGCTTTTGATCCTTCTAATAAACCGTACTGCGCCAACATGAAGATTTCAGAATTCTTATTGAAAGTGCGCCCGAAGTTACCATCAATAATATAACTGATCTCAAACATTTTCTTCATAATCAAACTGCGCAATACATCCTACTATAAAGGCCAATAAACTACTTCGATTCATAAAAACAAACTCAAAAAAAGCACATTCTCACAATACATGCACAACCCCAAGTACGTCTTCAGAGTCTGTCAAAACATTAACTAACAATAACTGGCTGTGAGTATGAGTGCGGAGTATGGGTGCGAGGTATGGGTGTGATGTGGATATCGGTGTGGAGTGTGCGTGTGGGTATGGATATAGGTGTGATTAAAGAGTTCCCTAGATCCACACTCACACCTGTTCAAGAAATGAACACTTCATGACTCAGTGTTGCGCATCAGTTTCATATTGCTTTATTATCAAGCTGTTTCAAATTTATATTCACAAATGACTTGATGTATAATTACCCAAGAACCGGGACAATGTATTTCATCGAATATCTAAGTAACAAGTATTGGTTCATCTGAACATGAATTAGTAATATATCAAACCGATGAGTCTTTAAAAAATCCTCAACTTCTTGATTTAATGAAGAGTGACTGTTTGAAAAGAAAACTCACAGGGACATGTATCCTTGTATTTAAATCTATTACCAATACTTAGTAGAGGGTGTGGGTGTGGGTGTGGGGATGGAGATGGAGATCGGGGTTAAAGAACAGAACAACACCCACACCCACACCCTCATGCGATAACCACATTGAATTTGACCAAGAACTTCTCGCTTAGTCATACCTATAAAACATATGAATATGTATTTTTGTTTATAATTATTATTATTTTTTTTGTTTTCAGACCTGGATATGGCACTTGACCATATGTCACAAGTTCATAGAGTAAGATTTCATATAACCATACATCTGATTTAATTGTAAATTTATCGCATATAGCTGCTTCTGGAGCTGTCCATTTTATTGGAAATATTTCTCCTAAATATTATAAATTATGAAAGAAACAAATAATAAAGAAATAGTACAAACCAGCTAGAGCTACATATGTACCTTCACTAATAATATGAGCTAAACCAAAATTTGCAATTTTAACGATACCATTCTCGGCAACGATAACAATCCGAGTGGCTGAATCCCTATGGATCTAGTTAAATCGAAATATTTGAAATAAATTGAAAAGAAATATTTTTATAATTTACATAATGTTCATGTTCTAAATAAGCCATTCCAAAAGTAATCTAAATCAAAATATGATAAAAATAATCATGATTTCATAATGTGTTATTTAATATATAGTCTTTCAGAGTCTCAGTCACAAGATATCAATCATTTTCATACATAGAATCTATAAAATAATAATTGATGTTTGTTTTGTTCTATTGAACACCAATTTCTTAGTACTATGTTGGAAAGTTATATTATATAGTTACGTTGTTTTTTAATCTTATCTTTTGTCTCGAACTTCCTTCTCAATAAAAAAAACAAGACTTCTAAATTGATAATAATTCATGTTTATTTTGTCTAGATTCTTCTTAGATTAATAATTATAATAGTATGCTATAGATTGAACGTTCGTGGTTCGACACATGTTTAGTTACGAAATAATTTATTTTCTAGAAAATTTGTTATCTCAAGAAAACAAAAAACGAACAAAATACTAATTAACTAATATGTCGACAATCATTTCATTCAATGAGATAATTGATTATTAATGATCATTATAACTACTTGTGCAGCCATGTTAACAAGTGTTGGTAATTTAAGTTCTTGTCCGGGTCCATCACGAAGATAATCTAATACAATTCCATTACACATAAGTTCAGTAATAATATAAATTGGTTGATCTGGTGGTTCCATACAAACAGCATATAATTGTATAAGTTTATCATGATGTAATTTTTTCATTATATTTGCTTCATCAACAAACGCTTATGTTGACATTGTACGAGTTTTCATTGTTTTTATTGTTACATCAATTTCATAATTCCATTTTCGAGTCCATATTTCATCTTAAAAATCAAAAATTAAAATTAACAAGAAAAATAAATCAGCACAAAAGTTTTCTACCAAATATTTCTTCACCAATTTTTTTCACAAATTCAAGAGAATTTCTTGGGACTTCCAAAATATCTTTTGGTGTTTTTAGTTTTGGTCTTGGGCATACATGTGTTAATTGACAGCAAAGACCATCACCATTTTCTTAAAACAAGAAAAAAAAAATTTTTTATTCTGTTTTTAATTTTTATAGAATTGAAATTCTTGTTTTACTTCTATAATGTCTAATTAATCCTTCTAGAGAACTAAACGCACGACGTGCAGTTATATAATAACCCATACTGGGACCATTATAACGAATTTTCTAATGTTTGACATGTGCACCAGATTGTTCATCACAATCACGAACAGATAAAATAAATAGATCTAAATTAAAACTAATTATAAATTCAAATCATAGGCGGCAGAAGCTGGAGGCTGGGTGAGACATGAGCCTCACCCGAATTTGGCGTCTGGAGGCTCAGCCTCACCCAAATTACGTTTGCGGTATTTTTTGCACGATGGTTTAGACCATAGGCGGTGGAACCTAGAGGCTGGGTGAGGCATGAGTCTTACCCAAATTTGGCGTTTGTAGGCTCAGCCTTGCCCAAATTATGAATTCGATATTTTTTTGCACGATGGTTTAGACTTATCTTATCAGTTGAATATTATTTCAGTTCGAAGAATCGAACTTCTAATACGTTTATTTATATGTTGTGATAAAGAAAACTAAGAAATTCAGACAATAATAAACTCAATAACTACGTTGCTATGGTTTACAGCGATACCTTCTATCTCATTTACATAAAGTGATATGTGTACTAGGCCAACTGTAGAATTATGCGATCAAAAGACATCAAAACTAGCTATATTTGAGTGTCCTGTCATTCTCTTTAGCGTATTCAGTGAAATATATCCACAGCAATTGTTAAAAATGTCAGCAAATATACCAACTAAAATACAGTGTCAAACGAGTTTATTTGCATACTTATCTGAATGTGTAGCTCTCTTATTTTTGAATGCCTTGACATTATCATTTAACTAGTGCGTTAGAAGATTATTATCTTAGTCTTGCTAAGGAAAGTGTGATTTCATGTTTACATGAAAATCAAACAGGTAAACAGTACTTTCTTTTGATCATAGTCATAAAATCAATAATTTAGATTATAAACAGTAGGGGCATGAAAACGATGTACAGATTGATTTTGGAATATTTTACTAAAAAAAGTAAAAGGTGCAACAACATCTGTGTGTATAGAAGAAATTGCTTTAACTGATTTGACTGATCTTGCAACAAGTTCTCGAGACGAAGCTCGTGAAGCATCTTCTGTACCTCAAACTATGCCTCTTGTTAATCCATTAAATAGTGTCCATATTTATATCGTCAAACAAAAAAGACAAGCTTTTTTTTGTTTAATGTTTTAATATGAAATACATAGTTCTTGTATTTTTTAGAATTTTCGTCCTTCTATAAAGATTTAGAAACTCTACCAGTAAAGAACAGAATAAGTTAGCACAATAACTTTCTGACAGCAAAACAATTAAATATTCTGAAATGATTTATCATCTGAAATTCGCTGAGATTACCTCATGCTGATATGTGATATGTCATTTTAGGATAGCAAATAAACTTCCATTGAGCCTCACCCAATTTCAAAGCGTTCCGCCGCCCCTGATTCAAATATAAATATAAAATAAATTAGAAGTATATTCGGAATATTGAACAAGAAATGTTCCACGTGAATTTACTCGATTTAATAAAAGATGTTCAGCTTCTTTTCGCAGTACATGTCCATGAAACCATCTAGAATACAAAAACGAATTTAAAGATTTATCTTTCTAAATGTTATTTTCTTTGAAATATAAACTTATTCATAGACATCAAGATTGTCATATGATGCAACATAAACAGCTGGAATGTATCCTATCAAGCCAGTCTGATAATGTTGAGCAAATCACCATTCACTATGATTAAGAAAATATTTTCTTTAAAATTTATTAAAATAAATAAATATTCAAACAAACCTATCATCAAGAACAGTTAACAAATCTCCAACCCAAAATGTAAGATCTTCATCTGTACGTGCATCATAATCATATATAGCAACATAAACTTTATCAACCAAAGATAGAGGTTTTTTACGAGTTTTATCAGTGTTTACTAATTTAATTACAAAATTTAAAACATTTTCAAGACAAAAATAACTTACAACCTCCATTTCTTCCAGAATTATATTCTTTCAAGTCATTTATCAATTGTAAATCTGTTGTAGTTGGTGAAAGATCTGATATTGATGGATTTAATTCCGGAAAGCAACAAGTCATTATGTGTTTTTTTTTACTTTGTCTTTACACGAGTTACTCTATTGTTTTCAAACTAAACATACATCTATATATTCACATTTTGTTGAGATGGTCAATTCACGGAAACATTCACAAAAAGGAGATAAAAGAAAACATTATCTGTTCTGGGTATGGATGAAGAAAGTAGTGACATTCACACCCTTATATCGTTTCCGATTTATTCCATTATTTTCTGTTAAAAGGTTTTTGACAAAATTAAAACGATTTTCAGGATTTAGAAAGATACTTTGAGGATTCAAGAAGTCCTGAAATAATCTTGATCTAAACCTCTCAAGGTTTTAGCGTGCAAATCTAAAAATCAGGCATATATTGATGTAATTATACTTATTACGGATCTAATATCCAGAAGATATGATCAACTAAGAGAACTTTTTAATTAAGTTGGACGAAACATTTCTTCTAGAAGTTCCTTTTGATGGAAGATCTTCCGTTTTGGGAATCAGTTTTTTTTTAATTTTAATTTTGACCACATTATTTATATACTTTCGAAAGGTTATATGTAGATTCGACAAATGCATCCGTCCATAAGAAAAGAAAAACTAACAAGAATTTTGTTATATGTAATGATGAAGAGGTATCTAAAAAGAAATGATACATAGTATGAATCAGAAAATCCTAACTGTATTAATATGCGAATATTTCAAATATTTACCACAGTAAATAGAGAAAATGAATTTGGCATGCTCCAGAATTTAACATATACGTACATAGTCTATTGTGACAGCCTATTTATCTTCAAATATTTGTGTAAATGGCATTGGATGATTTATGAGTCAGTCCATGTAAGCCACAACCTAACGTACTCAATCGAGGTCATTCAATTTTGCTCAATTTAATATATATTGTAGAAGCAACAATTTTAGGAATTTTGACACAAGCTGTTTGAAAAAATATTCTTCCATTTGTTGAGATATTTAAATTTTTCTGGGGACACTATCGCTAAAAAAGCACATTTTTATGATTTTTGGGACATCTATATCTCATCACAGATACATGCCATTGACTTGAAAATTTTACTGCTAGTGAATGTCATGATTCTGTATTACTGAGAAAAAATGAACTTACACGGATGTAGTATTGATGGGTTGGATGTGAATATAACTAAAGAGAAGACTCACACTCCCACCTTCAACTGAACTTTCAATGGAAGCCGATGTTGATTGTTGGTATTTTGAGGGGAATTTAATGTGGCTTATGTCTTTATCACCATCATCAATTAATTTTTTTCATTTTCTATTCCAATATTTCCTCGATTAGCTGATCCAAACTATTCCTATTTCCATCGATGCATCTGTCTATAAAATCAATAGTTCCGATTGGATCAATAAATGATTTAATAAATTCTATTTGACAAAGGAATAATTGCAGATCGAATGTGATGCATAGTGAATTATTGGCAATGTCATTTATTTGATGAGAATGTTTCGTTTTGAATTGTTACTTTCGTTTTCTGTCGATTTGAATGTAGAATAAAAAGTTTTCGATTCAAAATTAATTCGATCTTTTGATCATTTTTAGTGATATGCCATGCAAAACAACATTTGATTCTTTATTAATAAGGAAGTTGAAACTTCTACCATTTATTGCATCATGAAATAGTCCCGATGATCGCTTTTCAGCAGTCAGTTCCGTATTGATTCGATCGATAAACACTTCTATGGCAATAGTGTCGACATGGTTTTTTGCTGTTAGATATAGATGATCACATAGTTTTTAGTATCATCATATGAGTTCGAGAGAACAGTTGGTTTCCTTCTCTCACAATTATTTTTGTATAAATGGAAACAAACGGTTCAAATGTGTGATTAGCTGAATCACACAAATAGCAATAGTTGTTATATGCCTCAGTCAAGAAAGAGTATGGGTCGAACTTGGGTGACATGATCTTCAGTCGTTTGTCTTCACCATTAGGCTATTGAGACACTTTACCACTACGTTTATTCATATATCACTCATTCGTTTTTTTCGTGTTTATGAAACGTAATGAAATGATTTCCATTAATGTAAATCGCTTAGTTTCGTACGTACCTAGTAACAATTCAACTTTGTTGCTACATTATAATAATGTCAAGAATTCAATAGATACGTCCATAACAGCAGCAACAAGGGATATTGTTAATTAAAGAAACAAAAATATGTCTTTGAAGTAGAAAAAATCGATCAAACTGAGTTATTTGATTCAAGAATGTACTTATCGAAGTAGTTTTTTCGCTAATTTTGATTTTTGACTCGAATTAGAAACCTTTTTCGGATCAATCTAATTCAAAATAATACCTTATGTGGTTTCTCTACTCAGTTTTCATATGAGGCTTCTATTTTAATAAAACATAATCAATTTGGAAATATCTTTATCTTTACATCGTATTTGAAAAACTTATGTTAAACTCGGTATGACCTATTTTTATCATCAAAATCATTATGAATGTCAATACAATATGATACATTGATCATGGGTTTTGAAAGTATAAAGTAGATTCAAGAAGTTTTTTCAAGTTAACTTAAACCCAGAAATAAATTACGAAAAGGAAAATTTTCTACGGATGACATTAAAATTGAGAAATTTCCACTTAGTGGTTTCAATAGCTTAACAATTCTATAAAAATATTGCAGTTCCTCTTCGTTATAGTCGAAAGAAAACCGTATATCAAAATTATTGAGGTTTCAAATTGATTTACGATAATTCTTCATTGATTTATATCACATTGGCTGTAAAAACGTATTGTATGAACTGTGATATATCATTCTGCAAATCTTACTTCAAAGGCACAGAATCCCAATGCACAGTTTATCATAGCACATAGCAAACATATTTATGATTGAAGTATATGAGGAAATATTTTCTCTTTAATCATAAACTATTCCATTTGAATACGAATATTTTTAATAAACAATTTTGTCAGCATACAGTGAGAGTAGCTAAAAAATGTTTTTTGCTGTTTTCTAACCAATAGAGACGCAAAAGACTCACAGCTACTTGACTTTTCATCTTGGGTGTGGTAGTAGATCGAAATTACATCCATATCCTACTTCCATAAGATAGGCTAATAGTCATCACCCCTCGTTCTTCCAACTTTGGTGAGAAATGGCATGCATAATAAAATTGGAACAACACATGGCTGATTAACATGGTCGTTGTGCAAGGATGACACCCAAAATCGTGAAGTGTTTCATATTTTATTGTTTTTGGTTCAACTAAACGACCTAAAACAACATCAGCAACAGCTGATCCTAACAATTGATAAATATGTTTCTTTTTTATAGATCCTGGTAAATCAAGTCTATCTGTGAATTGTGGGTGTGGGTGTGCATATTTTCTTTAAATATCTACACCCACATCCAGACCCTAATCAGTTTTCTGTTTCCTTGATTTTATTGTTTAGTACGCATAATTACGTAAATCAAGACTAAATGGATCATGCAATAACGGGAGGATATAAATGTAAGGATGCAGATGTTGATGAAGAATGCACCTACACCAAAAGCTACAGGCTGAGACTTACACACTCGCACAACCACATTCTATAAATGAACAAATGGATTTGATTCTATTGACAGTATTTCTACTTATTAGTCAACACCGAGATGAATCGATGTTTGATAAATTTTACTTTTATTTACAAAGTTTGGTAATTATCAACAATAAATAAGAGGGAAAGACATTGTTTCGCTTTTGTGTGTTCAGAACCAAATGTCTTTTGAACAATACGATGAGCTTCCGTATAATATTTTTTTGCTTCATCCAGTTTGGCCTGTTTTTCAGTTGATTCCTCCTTAGTTTTTTCATTATTTGTTTTGCTATCCATTTCGGCTACTATTTTCATGCAAATATCGCCCAAATTTGAATGAACATCACACACCTCAATATGATCAACACCTAGTGTAGTCAACAAAATTTGTAAAGCTTGTTTGACATGTATATAAGCTGTATCGTAATCATTCATCATAGCATAAGCAAGACCAAGAGAATTGAGAAAAATTCCATATTTATGATGTCGATCATTAAATTCTTTTTTAATAATAGCAAGTGCTCGATCAATATGAATGATAGCTTGTTCAAAGTTGCCTAATAAGAAAAAAAGTATAATATGCTTATCTCAAATATTAATTTATATCTGTCCTAACTAACCCAGTTGATGTTGAACTTGACCAATATTATGTAAGATTTCAGCTGCTTCAGAATGTTCAGGACCGAGTGTTTTTTCGATAGCTGTTAAAGCTCGTTGATAGAGATGTAGAGCATCTTCAAAATTATTTCTTTTTCGATCAAGATCTGCCAGATTATTGTAGTAGATACCCAACTTATAATGTTCTTGATCGTGACCAAATGTATCATGAACAATTTTAATTGCTCTTTTATAGAGTACTTCGGCTCCATCATAATCGGCTCTCTTCTTTAATACGAGACCCATTGAATTGAGTACTTCAGCTACTTCAATATGATTGGGTCCTAATGATACTTGCAATGCTGCCAGTGCCTCCTTGTATGTAGCTTCGGCTGTTTTGTAATCACCTCGCTATACAAAAAACTATTGTGAACATTGAAATTCTTCTCTACAGTGCTGAATGTAACATCGATGAAACTAGCAGATTTTTTCATAGATTTCTTTCGTTCAATTTACTGAATTAAGGATTTCATTTCAAAAAAATACTATGCAATACCGTTCTGAGTCAATTTTTGCATAGTTTTTCTTTTCAATTATTGATTATTATTATTTTTTTGTTTCAAAAACGAAAATAGTGGAATCAAGAAAGTAGTTTCTTATTTAATATATCAAGAACAGCTGAAAGATACTGCAAAAGAATCAAAGACATCGATGAAAAATTGTGCTGGTCTCGTTCAGATCTAAAGAACAAACAAAGCGGAGCACATATTTAACCCATAAGTAACATTTGATGAGATTACAAGAAACGTAAAATGATTCATTCTCATTTTCTCTTCAATAAAAATTCTATGGCTATTCGCTGTAGTTTTCAAAATTTGATCACAGAATCAATGCAGTATCCCAAAAACTACAACTAAACTTCGATATATTCTTTGGTAAATTTTAACTGAATTCAATTCGGCGATACAACGATAGAAAAAGAAGGAAAATTCGTGGCGGTAATAGATAGCTCAATTAGTTTTGTATGACGTACTCCATGTCTACGGTCAACATCAAGTTTTAGATATTTATCATTACTGTAGGTCACTAACGTAAAAAGTTTCATAGTTTCTTCGTAAGACAATTAATTATTCAAAATTAATATTACGCAAACTTGTTCACTAAATTAGTTCGATGAGAATCAAGACCAACAACATCACGAACAATCAAAAGAAATTTTGAAGATTAATTTATAATTTCTAGAAATTCATTTTTTTTTCTCTTTTTTGAAAAAGCTCGATGGGATCTATTTGATTTGCTTTGACTCTTTTTTTTAAATAATACTTACCTTTCGATAAATATCACCAATATTTCCCAAATACATGCCAATAGATTCATGTTTATCACCATAATAATGTTTAGATATTCTCAAAGCTTGTTTGAGATAATCCAATGCTTCAACATATTTTCCTTCTTTCTTTAACAAAATACCTAAATTATTCATAATATCGGCAACGGATGGATGATTTTGTCCATGTACTGACTCCAGTTGCTCAAGAGCTTTCAAATATAGTTCATGAGATTCATTATAATTACCTTTTTTACGTAAAATATCTAAATTTTAATCCGCAAACAAAAAGATTCCTATGCATGATTTTGAAATGGAATAAAATGTAATTTTACCTGCTAGATTAGCAGCGATTTCTGACCAAAGACTTGATTTTGTATCAACTATTTCAAGTGCTTTATTATAAGCCGAAATAGCTTGATCATACTTGAATTCATAACAAAAAATATAGGAATAAGAAAATAATGACAAAGATCTAATAAACATACATCAGAACATTTCTTAGCAACAAGTCCAATACCATTGAAAATTTCAGCTTTTTTTGTTGATTGATCATTATCTGGTAAAAGATCAAGTGTTCGAATAAATGCATCTTTAGCTTCTGGATATTTCGCTTTTTTCAGATAAATATGTCCTGTAGCTAAAAGTATTTCGATTCGTTGAGGTGTTGAGTTTGTATTTGAATAAGCACGTGCATATAATTCTAACGCTTTATCATATTGACCATCATCATGTTCAATTTTTGCATTGAGATGGATAATATCGAATGTATTTTGTGTATTCTTAATCATTTTTAAACATTTTCGTGCTTCATCATATTCATGTTCATCATAAAATGCTTGGGCTATATCGTATAATCCATTGTTGTTTGTATTTTTCTTTGAATTATTGAATTGTCGTAATTTAAGACGCAATTGCGATAGTTTTTGTTGTCGCTGATTCTTCATTTTATCAGGTGAATAAGGACACGATTGTTTGTGTTTAGTCAAATCAATTCTAGGTATTTTAGCTGGACATCCTTGTAATTTATGTGGACAATCGAATTGAAGATTATCGACAAAACGTTGAATAACAACATTTTTTGTTAATGTTTGTTCGGTCAATGCCGATGAACGACATCGGGGACAGTTGTGAGCCGATTGTTGAAGCCATGACTTAATACACGAAAGACAGAAAAGTTGATGACAACATGGAGTTTCTCGAACATCAGTTAAATAGTCGCAACATATACAGCATTCAATCAATAATTGAATTTCATTTTGTGTCGCAGTCATTTCTTACCGTCAGAAATGAATGAAATCGAATAAGGTTGAATATATATATACCCAAGAAGAGTAAATAGTCGTATGTTTTCGAGCAAAAACAAAAATGTATGTCAATTTAAATGAATAAGACGATGAATAAGTCTTGCATCATTTCAGTTCCGTACAAATAAACTTTACACTGAAAGCACACCTATCATCTCAAGGTTGATGAGAACAACAACAAACTGAATGATTTCTATTCGTTTTATTCTATCAATGACATACATTTCAACGTGCGTCTGTGTTTATGGTGACAGAACAGAACAAAATAACAGCTACGCAAAAAACCTGTTAAGAATGAATCATAGAAAAAAAACGCCACGTCATTAAATTTTTATCATTGCCGTTGGTGTCAATCAAGCAATTATTAATTTCGATGATGTAAATGAATAATAATTTGTATCAAAGAAAAATTGTCGATTCTGTTTTCCACGATGACGTGTCAGTTTTACTCTAAGTGGGATCTAACAGAAACTGCATATTTTACTATTTATTTTCTGATGTTTTCAACAATTATGAATAAATTTCTGAGCAACATTATAGAAAAGTACTTCTACAGTAATTAGATTATTCTAATGGTTTGGTAGTATATAAGTTCGATTACTCATCGTACTTTCGAATATAAAGTTCTAGTGTCACAAAATTCAAACTATATTTTTCTTATAAGATCGTTTCAATAATAATTTAGATGAACTTTTCGATAGATTGAACTGATCTGTAAAATGCTTTTTGATATTTTTGTCTGAGGCAGTTTGACTACAGAAGTATCAGTATAATTGCTGTTTTCAGTTGGCTTTTGTTATTATTTATGTTAAACGTAGTGCATCATATTTCTTTCGATTTTATTGTAGACATGAAAAAAAGTTATACTCTTTCATAAATTATCATATTGTCAAAATTTTGAATACAAGTGTGAAACTTCACCATTGAAGAGCATTAGAAAGCATTTATTTACATTTTATTCTTTGTCAGTATTCAACTATTAGTTGTTAAAACAAATTTGAATAAATTCAAATTCAGACGTTTTATAATATATCTTGAACCAATTTAAAACACTTACAATATTCATCTTAGAATGAAGAATAACTATCAATAATTAAGCTCATGCAGTTCATTACTCTACGATTAATCTGAAAATTTGTTTATTTATCAATTGCATTAATATCATTCAAATTTTTCAGAATAACTTTTTGCTATTCTTGGAACAATAACTGATAAATTGACAATAGCACAAAGAATTTGAAAAAGACGAAAACATCCTCAAAATTGATAAATGTAATACTATCATGTTTTTAGAAGAATCATTTCGATATTGTGAGCGTCTGAACTAGCCATGACTCTATCGTTCGAACTATACTAAATAATTAGATGGTATTACTTTTTTTTTTTAGAAAACTTACCAAACTCAAAATTCAGACGTCTCTTCATAAGTATTTTTATCTTTCTCTGAATTAACTGACTTGTATAAACCCATGTCTCTATTCACTAGCAATTTGTCAGTAAGCATCATATAGATCGGAGTAGAATGAGACACAAGATTATTTCATTACAAACTCTAGCAATTCGAGTAAAATTTTAATAGATATCAAGGTATGCTAATGAACTATATTTTAAACCTTTCTTATACAACTCGGGAAAACTTATAATTTAATGTCTAATTCGTCAAATTTCGACGACCGAATGTTTTCTCATAAATCATTACTTTTTAGTGGTCTATGGTTTGTGATAAGGCATCACTTAACAATTTTGTTCAAATAGTGTTGTTCTTCGGCTATGTAATGGGTTCACTTATATTTGGTGTTTTATCTGATAGGTAAGACGTTTTGTTTTTTAGCAATATTTTTGAAAATAATTATTCATATTTATATATGACAAGATACAGTCGACGACCTATTATGGGTATTTCGTTTTTGATCTTATGTGTGACCAGTTTTATTTGTGTATTTGCCTCACAACAAAAATTTGAATTTAAAATAAGTTATATACTTTTCGTATTTCGTCGATTTTTAGTCGCATACGCAATACCTGATCTACTTAACACGGGCATCGTTATCGGTGCGTATTTACATAGTATGAATTCATGTACATATTTATTTATGTTTATTTGCTTGTTTTCTTTTGTAGCTGTAAAAAGTGGTCAGTTAAAGAATTGGATTCCTATTTTTTGTTTTGATATTCCTTGTAAATTTAATTCGTAGTCAGCCCAAAACAACATTTATTTACTGTCATGATCATTCAATGTTTCTCTGAAATAGGACAGTTGATTCTTGCACTATTTGCTTATAATATTCGAACATGCCGTTTATTACATATAGTTTTAACTACATTATCAATACTATTTCTTTTTCTCTATTTGTAAACTATATGAAGTTAAGCATTTTTATTTATTGCATCATATTGTGATGTATTTAGTATCTTACCAGAAAGTTCGAGTTGGCTCGTAAATAGTTATCATAATAGAGCAGAACATATTCTTTGTCAGATAGCTAAAACAAAATAGAAATAGCTTAGACTCAATGGTATATCAACGTTTAGTAACTGAAGCGAAGTAAGTAATCCATTATAATGGAGAAAAAAAACGCACTCATTCGAATGCTTGCTTATTTGTTTTTGTCTATTTAGAAAGAAGCCTTCAGTTCAGTAAAGGGTCATGGAAAAATGTATCCACCACGATCAAAAATAATGTGTATCATCGTAATCAATATGTCATTTCAATGGTAATATTATAAACGAAGTTTTTTTTGTGAAAATCACAAATATTTTGAACTAAAGTCAGATTCGATCTATATTGACATAGTTAGAATAACGTTAGTGAAAATATGAAGATCAAAAATAGAATCCAGCATGGATGTCTTGAATACTTTCAAAATCTACTTTTTCCCGTAACAGGGATCGATTCAAATTCAATCTTCTCGAGAGTTATCCCTTCTGAATTTTGATGACCTCGAAATGACCTTGACAACAGACCCAAAGGATATGGTGCAGAATCAATGTACTATTGTATGCAGTAAGACAATATTTCTTCGTCATATCATAAGAAGAATAATGATATGATTTATTGAAAATGAACTCTTTATTATAAAGCAATTAATGTCCTAATTAGTTTTACATATACGAAAATTCATAACAATTTAATCATATTGAAAAATAATTTAACAAAAAAACAAAACAATTTTTTTTTGATACTTAATTATGTATTAGTTTAAATGTGACATATAAGTTGCATAGATCAACTCAAAAAAAATGGGAATGTGCTAACAAGTTTTTTTTTAATTTTTTATTCTATTATTGTAAATCATAGGTTTGTATAAAGTCTTGTTTTTACTGGCGCTCCACAAATGACGGATAAGAGAAAATAATTCCTGGTTCTTTTGTTTTTAGACTAAAACATTACAATTTTTCTAGGCATTTGGTTACGTGATTCATATAGATTATTTGGTAGTGTTCTTGTACAAATTGTTGATTATGTTATTATCGATCTTGCTCTTTCTCGATCGGGTCAAAAAGCAACCTTTTTTTTTCATTTGTAATGGGATATTCAATATTTGCATTTCTTCCTGTACTAATTCAAAGATTTATGAATGAAGGTAGTGGCGGTAGTTCTTTATAAGAAAATTTTTAAACTTAATCCTCTCTTTATCAAGATCGATATATTCTTATCTTCATAGTTAACTTTATTCTTGAAATTTTTGCTTCTGATTCTTATATTATCGTATTTATCTACACTAATGAATTATTTCCTACGCATTCTCGAAATAGAGGTATTAGAATTTGTTCAATAATGACTCGAATAGGAGCTATTGTTGGAACATTATCGACTGTCATTTTGATAAATAATTTCGATATCATTTTCGTTTTATATTCAATGAATTTATTTAGATTCAAGTGGGACTCTATTTTCCAATGGTTGTCTTTAGCTTTACGTGCACATTTTCAGCTGTATTTCTTACAATTTGTCCAGAAACATTCAATAAATCATTACCTCAAACAATCGAAGATGTCGAGCTCATGAGTCTTTCTTTGTAGGGTTCTTTTGAGTTTTTCTATTTCATTTAGTCCATGGAGAGAACTTAAAACCATTGGCGCCTATAAAAGTGGCTGACAATGATAATATTGGTAGCGATATAGCGTTATGAGGGCAATCAAAACATAACCATGTTTAAATTTAATTTAAACCATTACTTTCTATACATCGTTGATTATTAAGTTGTAGTATTATATATTTATCAAAAAAATTAATGTAGATTAGCTAATTCATAGACTTTTTAAAATAAAAAAAAAAACATAATTAGCACATAAGATAAATTTAATATCCAGTGTTGTGAAATCTAAATAATTCAAAAATATCAAATGGAATTCATTGTTTTGATCTTAGTGTCGAATTTCTGGATTAATAATACTGCGGTAGGAAACTACAAGAAAAGTATCTATAAATCAGACTAGAGAGGTGTTCACTAATTATTAGAGATTTTAATATGTGACATAGTTCATTAAACTTTAAGCTAGAATAGAAGATGTAATGTTTGTTAAATATTAAATAATTGCATCACAATCAAATTAATGTAATTTGTATTCGAAGGAAAATTTACTGATCATGAAAGAGTTTAGCTAACCGTTAATGTCATTAAATGAAAAAACCAATTTATATTGTACAATCAACTCTTCACTACAATTATTATTTACGAGATAACAATTACAATTAGATAATGAATGCAATAGTAACTCAAGAATGTGATCAAAGCTTTCCTAAAAAACTAAATACTGATATTAACATCACGTATTCTCAAAACTTATTTGAGTAAATATAAATATCCGAAATACGAGACAATTATTTTTTGTATTAATGTATTATTCGTTCTTTTCGAGGGTTTTACTAATCATGAAAATATGTTCCTAATGAAATTATTCTTCAAATGAATCTTCATCGAATACTCACACTAGAAATACAGTATAAGAATTATTAATGTTTTTGATTATAAAACTTTATATGAGTCAGCACATAAAAATAATCTCCCTGTAGTATATTGTCCTGCTGTTTTGGGCGTGGGTGTGAATGTAACGAAAACTATAATAATACACACATATCCAAGATATTTATATAGATCAAAGCTATGTTAAGATGAGTTATTGGAAGATACTTTAGTTCGATTTCAAGATTATTTTCATCATATTGAAGTGCTTTCAAATATTCGCTCATTGCTTCATATAATACACCTATGTGTTTGTAAATATTAGCCAAGTCAAGAGAACCAAATAACGAACGATTTTGCTGAATTTCAAGGTTTTTTTTCATAGTAAGTCAACGCTTTCTGGTAATCCCCCATTGAATGATGAACACTGTCGAAATTTCTATCAGCATATGTCAGTACCGAGTCATTCGGCATAAACATTTTCTGTACAAATTCGAAGGTTTTTTCCAAAACAAGGCAATGCATTATTTAGTTCACTCTTTGCTATAAACACTTTTCCCATTTGATAATTCAAAAATGTGCTTAAATGTTTATCTTTCTGTGAGATTGTAGTTGACGTGGATGTGGATATGCTGCGGGTGGAACAAATATCTAGATCCACACCTATTTCCTTATAATCCTATATGCCATAGTACTTTCTTTCCTCAGTGTAATCATTGATGTGAATCATTGTGGAAAAATATTTAATTGGTAATTTATTTCTCGTACATTAAATTACTCTTGAATCTAATTATAAGTAAGTAGTCACAACAAGAGAATTTAAAGTCTTGATTGTAGACTACTCGAGAAGCAACGTTTTCAAAGGTGAATTATTAATAGAGAACTAGGGAAAATATAGAAGGTCAATATTAGACATAGGAACAAGTAATCTATATGTAATTGATATTGTTCAATTGTTGTCATTTTCCATAGGTCGTACTTTATTCTGAAATGTTATAGCATCTCTTTGGGTTCGAGTAAAATATGTTGCTGTAATCTGTGGCTGAGATTTTGCACGATTGAATATAATTTTTTTAAAACTTTGGCGCAAAGATTTTGATGAACATAAATAAATATAAAAATCTCCAAAATAAGTTGCATATGTCAATAAATTAGCAACTGTATTAAATATATTATCTTGAGCATTACGTAATGCATCTTTTTGAATATTCATTGTTACTGATTGATAAATTATTTGAACGGTAGCTATGAAAAGAGAAAGTGACATTAAGGTTGCCTGTAAAAGAATCATTTTAGTCATTTGACGAGAAATTGATCGATGAAGTTGAGTTACAGAGCGAAGATTCTTTCTTGTCAATAATCCAAATATGATAAATATTGACAAAGGTACAAGACAAAGCAAAATCAAACTTTGAAAATATGTGTAATAAAATGACCAAGCAGGAGAATATACTGTGCATACAGTTGATGTACTGTTTGCTTTTGTATACACATTGTAAAGAAATAATACTGGTATATTCATTGAACACCAAAGAACAACAGAAACTAATATAATTATTCTTGCAAATGATAATTGACTCAATTGACGAATTCTTGCAGATCGACTTGATACAAAATATTGATCAATAGTTGCAAAAGAAGTAGAGAAAAGTGATGTAAACATGCAAACTTGACCAATATAAAAACGTGATTTACACATAAAATTAATGGTATTTGTTACTGGAATAAAGAATCCAGAAATCAAAATGCGAGTTAGTAGTAAATAACAAACAAATATCAAATTAGCAATGGAAGTAACCAATAGGTAGAGACGACTAGGACTTCTTGGAAAGACTGCTATTTTCAATACAGAAGAGAACATTAAAATATTCATAATATTGCCAATAAAACCAAGCAAAAAAAATGTAATACCAACGATGATATTAACCTTTTGAGCTGTTGCATTTAGTAATTCAACGAACGACGACATTTTAAAATTCAACTTAATATTGTTTAGCTCTTCTCTAAGATGAACCAAATGAAAAATGCAAATCTTTTATAGAGGATATTGTCTTGAGAAAAATACGCCGAAGAAGATCGTAGAAAATTAATATGATCTTCTGCATATGATATTTTCTTAATTAGTTTTATGTAGTGATATCATTGATGTAAGTCCTGTCGCTCAAAGCAGAGATGTAAATGACATAAAAGCTGTCGGTGGTCGCTGCCATTACATTTCTTTCAGTTTGGAGTATAATTACCTAGATATTGATTTAAAAAACTGAGTAGAAAAACTTCTTTTCAGCAATTTGTTTTACATTTTGAATTTTCAATACTGCCTAAAAAAAGTATTTCATTGACGAATAAGCATAAGTCTACGACAAAGAACTTTGAAGAACATTATCGTCTTTGAACAAGATGAATCACAACTCTCCGATCAAATAATCATTGTGGTACAATCTGAAAAATGGTTTGAAGTAAATCTTCAGATAGATTCATAGCGAGAAAATTCTTGTTCGTTGTCTTCGAAATGTTCACTTAGTGAAAACGTAAGCTATCTGATTTGTCAGCCATTAACAACAAATCTGTCTAATGAAGTGAAGTTTTTTCGAGTTTTCACTTCAAGAAGATCTTTTCATAAGTCTCAAACATAAAAACAAGAATTCAGTGTTTTAGTGTTCCTCACATGCTCACTGTTGCTCAGAAGTATCGTCGCTGAGGAGAATCTCGTTTGAATCTTGGTGAATTTTCGTTTCAGTCCTGAATGGAGTTCATGATTCCAATGACATTTGTTGTTGAATGATTTTGATCTTCAACAAACAACAGAAAAACAATCCGACGAAACTTTGAATCGATCGTTTTTCGATACAGAATTTAGCCGAAAAAAAAAGAAGTCAAGTGTTCTGATTATTGATTTTGAAGAATAAACTCTCTGGGCTATTTTCTAAATCATCATAGAATAATTAATTTCAGTTGCGCTTCATATAAATACTCAGCATATTGAAAGAATGTCTTGTAGTAATCTGTTAAAAAACCAAGAAAACTTTGATTTCAGCATCGATACTACTCATGACTTATTGAATTCATTCTGAATCCTGTTTTAGACAACAAATTATCTTCTTCAGTCCTACGATCTAACACTCGTCCTTATACCGTTCGACAGTTTTTCTAGGTACAAAGTTTATATAGAAGATCAAAGTTGCATGCAGACAAACTGAGTATGTGTACTCAACTATTGTACCAGAAATCGGTGAAAATATCTACTTATTGGTTGTGAGTGATGAATAAAAAGTTAATTTATCCAAATGATTTCTTAACTATTTTGATAGTAGACAGTTGCTTAGATTGCCACGACCAACGTGTCTGACGTTTTTTTTGCATTTAGTCTAAGATATATAGTTATCTGTTCCGGATCACTCGTACTCAAAAGAAAAGAGAAAAAAAGCCTTCGCAGCTTGTCGAAGAAATAAGAGTGCGGCGATGGAGATTCATCTACATGCCTGCTACAGTCTTAATAGACTTTTTTTCGATCAGTAAATAGCGTTTTGCGCTGTCGTATTCGTCACTATTCAATAGAACTGAAAGTGACAAGACAACCACTGAAGAAAATGGTTGATTAAACAGTCATTTGCTGATTTTTGAATACTTGACTGTCTTAAATTAACATCAAGAGCCCTTGCTTCGTGACATTTTGTCGTGACAATATTTCCATTCCATCTTCTTTGTCAGCATAATTGAGACTTTTGCCAAGGGGTAAACAGTTTAGACATGAACTTTGGAAAAATTGCATTTTCTGTGAAACACGATTGAAATCAAGTGTTGCAACATAAAGTAAGAAAAGTAAGAGAAATGTGAAAAAAAAACTTATATTCGCTCAGGCCTCAGAGGTCAATTTCACCATGAAATCTATCTATCTCATATTTTATATATTTTGTACGAATCTTTTTGAAAAAGTGTCAATCGAAATTCTTAATGCATGAAAGAAAAATTGATGTGCTTTTATTACGTAGATTAATTAAAGTTGATGCAGCTCTTTATTTACATATATCACTTAAATGGTAATCTATCATAGATCAATATGCTATTTATGACACATATTTATTCTCTTCGTATGATGCAATGAAACTTTTCAATGCTTCTCGACTAGTATGTCATGAATAGAAATTGTACCATTTTGCTAAGTTAGTAACAAAGCTTTGGCCAAAATACTTCCAGGTCGTCACATACAAATCTTCGATTTTCTCCGTAAATGAGGTTGTTTTAAAAATGCAATCAAATTGCTCTATTCTGATATCTATCTTCTTCTTTCTATCGTATTCAACAAAACAAAAACTGTGATAACAAATTAGAACAAAAAAAACAACAGTCAAAAAGAATCATTTGTTTAATGTATGAAAATTTATTTGTTTTGAGGCTGAGATATTCTAATAGTATAATTATCAATTTAAAAGACTTATATGTTATTTGTTCGTAGAAAATCAAGTCATTTTTTAGTTGATGAATCCTGAAGTTTTGATTTTAATTTTTATGTTATTAGTGTCACATTAATTATAATATATTCTCAAAGTTTAATAGTACAGAACTCAAAAAATTCTTTTTTTTTGCAATATAAGTCCGATCATCATCAATACCATCCATTTTACTTCAATGAAAATGAAACTAAAGTTGAGTATTATATTTCAATAGTTTACTATCAATAGAGATGACATTTTACTTGCAAGTTTCAGTTCAAACTTCAAGTTTATTCATTTTTTGACAATTCATCATAACGAATATGACGTTAATTAGGATGCAAAATTTAAGTAAAGTATTTTTATATTCACGAATTAAACACATTAATTAATTTGTTAAAAAATACATGTAAATTGTTTTTTATTTTTATGATTAAAATGTTTTAGCTTTATCGTAAGATTTTTATATTGCTCAAAGGATGCGTAATCGATCGATTAATTTACGATATAAGATCATCCATAGTGAATATTTTAAAATGATTACTTCTATATTAATTTCAATCTAAATTCTAATTTAATCTTTTTATCAAATAATAATACACGACATATTATTGAGATTCATTTTACCAAGAACAGACATGCAATGACTCAACTATGTCAATTTTTGTGAAATCTTGTTTTTGTAGAAAAGCATCTCAGTTTGTTTGCTCTGTTTTTGATAAGAAAAATCAAAGTTACTGGAAAGAAAAAGAACAGCAAACATTCGAAAAAAAAAATATTAGACTCATGTTTTTTTTTCAAGTTTTTAAAGGTATTATAAAGAAAGGTACCTTTACTATTTGTTACGCTTGACATCATATTCAACGCTTTCTGTTATGAATAATGTTACTCATCGAAAAAAGAAAAAAAAGAACGAAATAAAAAGTAAGTTACTAATCAAAAGCATATTTTTTCCAGTAGCAAAATATCTGTAAATAAAGCGAAATGCGTCGCCAACCTTGTAATTTTTTTCCACTTGACAGCGAAAAAATTCAAATATATATATAAGTACGGAATTTTAAACTGTAATTCTGTAGATGAAATGTCTTTCTTTAGAATAAGCGATAAAAATGCGAAAAATTATTATCATTCTGACGATGGTAAGTCTACTAAAATTTGTTCAAAGTTGTATAACTTAATATGAAGTATTGATAAATTAAATTGAAACATTGTTACAATGATTTTTTTCTCAATAAAAAGCATGACTTCTTCGAAACTAAAGTTCTTTTGTATTGATTTATGTGAAATGAGAACCAAAATTGACTTCTTCAATATGATTATTAGAGAATTAATAGAAGAATCTACATCAACTTTAGAACATAAAACTAATTCAATCTGATATTAGATGAATTATTTTTAGTCATGTTTTATTTACTTTTTCTTGTAGACGGTTATCCTGTGTTATTAACGCCATTATTGAAAAACGTGAATGATAGTGCGAAGCAGAACTTAGCAACAGAATTCGTTGGTTAGTATCATTTACAATTATTCGAATGCTATTTATAGATTTTTTTGTGTTTATTTTTGCAGAAGACGAAGATCTGACTAAAATAATTGATCAGTTCGTTTCTGAAGCAGCTAATTGCAATAATAGCGGATCAAATGGTGCATCTGATAACATTGAGCAATCTACTGAAAATTCTGTTGATTCTTCAGTTGATCCATTAGTTAGAAACGAACAATGTTCAGCAATGGCATCAAATAATCCAGTTACAAGTATGTTTTAATCTAGTTTTTTCAAAATTTTACCAGTTCTTTCTAAATTTATTTTGGTTTTCATCAGAGGAGATACTTCTTGTCTTGTTCTTACAAACAAAAGCACAAGTGAAATAAAAGAAAACTAGTAGTATTAATATTTAAAATAGTTGGTTTTATTTTTAGATATTAGTTCTCGGAAAGCAGTTTAGAAGGTAAGTTTTTCTCATACATTTACCCTACCCTAAGACCTGACTTAAACCTATTGAATGGAAGTGTGGCATTATACTTTTGCTCTCATACATCTTTACGAACTTTCCACAAACCCTTACACATCATTCTTTATTTTTATGAACCAGTTCGTTCTAGAAGTTATAATCTCTAAAACAGTATTATTATACCTTATTTTCATTCTTCTAGTGATCACACTTGATGTTCATTGGCCAATATTCTTGATGAATCCAATTCTGAATGTATTTCGTATCCGCAGTAAAAACGAATTAATTCGCGAACAAGCCAGAGGGATCCCGAAACTCAAAGACTGCGTAGGCAATTCACAACTAAATTTCACGGTAAATTGAATTTTTGATAATTATTGATTTTTCTTTTCTTTTTTAGCCAGTTTCAGCATTCGAAAATGCTCAAGTGGAATGTACAATATTATCCAAAAGTCCTGACGAGAAATGGTATTTTCCTCCTTATGCATTTGTTCTTAGTACTGATACGGGTTTGAAATTCGAAAATCCTACTCATTACAATTTAGAAAAAGATGCGATTATTAATAGCCAATATTTTTCGTAAGTACACATTTTACATCTAAGAATCTAAGAGTTTGTTTCGTTTAATTTTAGTTTGGAGATGGCCATTTGCAAGTTAAAAAATAACATGTTCGAATCTGATGATAAACAACAAAATCAAGTATACCAAATCAGGCGATTTCCTTGTGGTATAATAAACAGTTTGAAACTTCAGAATCAATATGACACGTATGCTAATAATCATTACATCTGTAGATACTATGGTTACAGTCGATCATGAATTGTTATCATCATGGGGGATAAGTGACAAGAAAAAGAAGACAAAAAAGAATGCTAAACAAACAGCAATTACTAGATTGCCTGAACTTCTCAACTCACACACGGCATATATCGTATTTCGTCGCACTCATTGGCATCATGATGAAAAACGATTTGTGCCGGAACAAGATATCTTGTTTTGTTCTAATGCTTTCACACTACGTAAATTACAAATCATTATTACAAACATGCTATTGTATTGGAAATATTCTTTATAATTCAGAGAATGGACATCGGGAGGATCAATATAATTACGGTCCCAATCAACTACAAATTACGAAACTCGTAAAAAAACAAGTGTCATCAGATCAGAAAAGCACTCAATACAATGTGGAAGTGTCATTTGTTGTAAGTTATCATTTTGTATTATATTTTATCAGTACTATTTTTGTTTTTGAAAAGATTCCAGAAATCTATACATGTACAGGATTGAAAAACAAATGTATAGAAATTAAAATACTTACTGGCAATGAACAGGAGTCGCAAATTCATCCGAACTATAAGATTATGAATGGTGAAAGAGCAGTTAATTCAAAATTAATTCCTGTCAATGAATATGTTTCTACGTGAGTACATCTTTAATTTTATTTTCATGTAGATTGCAACTACAAGTGAATCTCTTGCGGTAAATAAATGAATAGGTTTTCGAGAACCATGAAAAAATACAAAAAAAGTAAAACTTGTCAAAATAAAAAAATTTATAATTTTTTTATTGTACTCTTGTTAGCTTTGCATGTACTTTGTACAGGTCGTGTTTCTTTTTATAGTATAATCTTCAACATTACCAGACGTACCATCGAAGATTGGGAAACAGATTTCGTGTTACATCAGGCTCTATCAGTTTCATCTTCTAATAGTTCAAGTACGTAAAATTTTCTTGAAACATTTGGGTTCATCTGTTCTTTACGTTTATCTACTCATACAGCGCTTCGGGCGGCAACAATTGATCATGCCAGTATGAATAGTTTTCGTATACAGTTACAATTATGTGATTGCTCAAACGATGGTTTCGTACCATATCGTAGATCAATTGTAGTATCTGCTCCAGAGATTGATGGTAAGTTTTGTTGCTTAAATTGCAGTATATGTATAATATAAAAGTTTTACTTATAGACTTTACTTCTTCTAAAGAAGATAGTGCTCCTTCATCGCCGAAAAATGACAGTTTAACAGATGACAGTGTGGGTCAATCATCAACACATGAAAAACGATCATTAGAGAAGGAACCTCATGAACGGACGGGGTTAGTGTTCATACTCTTTCTTTAATAGTGTTAGATATTGTATTCACTATTAAATTGAATTTTTCTCTGTTGTAGTTCACCGTTACTGAAAAGTCAAAAATCTTAATTTGTGTTAATGGCATATTTGATGTGATCAAATTTCAAAAGAAACGAATTTTTTTGAATGTTTTTGTTTTAAAAATAACAAAAAATTATAATTGACCATAGGTCTCTTAGTAAATATTATTTTATCTAAATAAAAACTAAAATAAAGTCAAACAATCATGATGGATATGAGTATGGAGGGCGTGGGTGTGAGTAAACAACAGATACAGGCACCCACACCCACACTCCCTCATAAAAAAGAACCAATTCAATGCAGTCGAAGCTAGCATACGTCTAGTTTTTCATCTAGTATATTTGAATAAGATTCGTGTCGTAAAACTAATGAAAAAATAGGGAATTTAAACGATGTTAATGTTATTCTATGAATTTATCACTCTAACTGAGCTGATAGTATACGTTAAAATATTTGATAGATAAACAAAACATATGTACACTATGATAGGAACATTAGAATGGTATTGAATCATGGTATGCATTATATATCTCATGTTAAAAAGAAAAACACTCTAAATTAAAAATCTCTACTTGATCACCAGAGTTGTCTTCATTCGTTAACATCGATTGTTCTCTTTCTATGAAT